AAAACTCTTTGACAGGGCTATGTAAACATGTGCCCCCATATCTCCATCAGAATAGAGGCTTCCTGAAGTCCACCAGCGCCTCCTAGCCATAAGGATGTTGCTGTAATGTTACTTGAAATACAGTTGGTACCCATGAAATCTCTATTGATTTAGTAGTCTCTGCAGGATGAAACCCCAGAAACTAAGACTTGCACGAAGGTGATTTCACTTTCTAAGGAATCCTCTCACCATTTATTTCCTCTTAGTAGCCTCAAGGACAAATTTGGAACAAATTCCTTGTGTTTGTCAATTCCAACCTGTCTGTACTTCTTTTAATGCACAGTGTCTGCCCCTATAAAGTGAAGCTAAAGACAGTGCCAAGTTTGGGCAGGTATTAGGAGAATAAAACAAAACAATGAAGATATAGCATTAAGTAGAGGCTTTGCATGGAGTTAGAATTCAGCATATTTGGACAATTACTCAACAGTCTTCTGTTTTTTCAGCTCCTAAACCGTATTATTTTTTATTATGTGTATGAATGTATTGCCTGCATGGATATAAGTGCACCTGTGTCATGCAATGCCTGCAGAGGTCAGAAGAGGGCATCGGATCCACTGAAAATGGAGGTACAGATTGTTACAGTTGTTAGCCACCAGGTGGGTGCTGGAAACCAAACCTGGGTCATCTGCAAGAGCAGTCAGTGCTTTTAACAACTGAGCCAACCCTCCAACCTCCAAACCTGATTATTTTTATACACAAAAGTAAACAAACACCCATCTGTGCACAAATATAATCCAAAATGAAGACACTAAAATGATTCACTTTAGTTGGGTATGGTGGCCCAGGTTGACCCTGCAGTCCCAGGTATGTGGGAAAATGAGTCAGGGAGATTGCTGAAGATCTAGCCTATGCAACACAGTGAGACCATTGCCCAGAAGAACAAGAACAAAATGATTCATTTGGCTATCGTTCGTGCTAGGACTATGTATCCCAATCATGAATGAATGGCTTGTGTGTCTAGCCATGACCAACTCAGCCAGTGCACAGGCTAAACAGCATTCATGGCCCAGAGTCCTCTAATGCTTCCTCATTTAGGCACAGAAAATGTGACCAAGAAAGCTTTTCTGTAATCATGATAAATAGCAAGTAAATTTCACTCACAAAGTCCAAATCTCACAGGAAGAAGCAAAAGTGAAACAAAACTCCACATTAGTTTTCTCTATTCTCATAAATGACATACTTTGCAAGGAAATAATTACAGAGTTTATAGCATGTCGTAGGGTGCACGCACACACACACACGTGTGTCTGTATGTGTGTATAAAATGATAGCTTAATAGAGTTAAAATAGCTGAAAATTCTGAGAACTATTCCAATGTGCTAAATTGAAAGTTTCAATGTTGGCTGGGAAATAATTTTAAGAGTTAATCACTTTCACAGAGAAACACACACATATACATAATCTATCATGTCGGAGAATGGTTTATCCTAACAAGAATAACAGCACAATTCATAAAAAATGGCAGATCAAGCTTCAGCTTGAAACTCTACAGGCTGAAAACGAAGTTAAATACACACAGTGAAACTAACAAAAACAAAACCCCAGAATCAATGGTTCTTAAAGTGTGGCCACTTGTTTAGGGCTGAGGTGATGGCAGACAGGCTAAACTGGTCCTTTGTCTTGATCTTTCCAGAAGATATTAAGGAGACTCTCCTTGGAATCTGACATGCCAGTGGAAGGAGATCAGATAGCCGTGAGTAAACAGGATGTCCCAGCCCAGTTGATAATGTGGGCACAGATAAGTGACAGGCAAGAGAACATCCGCCCACACTCATTCACGGACCTCAGGGCAAAAACAAACCCTTACTGAACAAAATGCTTAGCCTGCCACACACAGCAGGACCCCTGAGTGCCAACTGGGCCTCTTTCCCAAAGGTGTCAGATGTAGGTTAGCATGGATTTATAAATACTAGCACATCTAAAGTGTAGGGTGCGTGTTTGAAGCTTAAATGGATTAAATTAAGAATAAATAGCCAGAAAAAAATAACCAACAATTTCTCTATAGTAGTTACCAAACTTAGAAAATTCATTACTCCTAAAACATGGATTTAAAATATATACCAGTCCCAAAATCTTTAGATTAATTCAGAGCTAACATATCCAAGTGAAAGCTGGGTTTTAGGGGCCAATGAGTGGGAGGGGCCCTAGGTTAGGATCTTTGAGAAGGACGCTGGAGGGGTCATTTCCATGTATCTCTTGACATCTCCAAGCTGGGCCTCTTCTGTAATTCCTGTAAACTCGGGGTCCCTCTGTCTTTTATCATCCTCAATTTTGTTCTTGGACTTAGGGTTACATGTAATGAAAGGCCCTGTGGACTGTGCCTGTGTGCTTCTGCCTGTGCTACATCTACACTGTTATACCCTTGCTTCTCTTTCTTCTTTGAGCAGAAGCAGAGTGTAATATATTCTGCAGAACTCAAAAACAGACATGACCTACCCAGGGCAGGGGAGAAGGTGAGCTCATACTTTACCTTTGGCTTCCAGAAACTCTAAATGTTCCCAAAGGATGGAGAGCTGCCAAAACGTGCTCCCAATGGAAGTGCTGATGGATTCTCTGCCATAGGATATGGGGTTGTTGGGGAAGGAAGCAATTTCTGTAAACAATAATCCATTTACAGATTCTCTTCTCCACCTGCACCCATCCCCAAACAAAAGTAAGTGGGGGTTTTGTGATAATATTTAAAACACGCCAAGGACAAATGTTATGGTATTCTCAAGGTCCTAAAAGAGGCAAGGCTCTGGGATCGTGGTTAAGTCTACATAGGTGACAACACAGAACGAGGACTACATTAATGAGACTGTTCTTACTATAAACTAAAGAATATAGGGAAGGATGTCTTGTAATTTGCAGGCCGTGCCCTTAGCAAATCCCAACACAAAGACCACACTAATGTCAAAGGGTCATACTCCAGAGAGCTACTTCGAAACATGGGCGAGCTGGCCCTGGACAGCAGTAATGCCGTAATATAACCCTGGGAGGAAAATGTGTTTTCAGTTACACCAGGGCCCGGTCCAGCCTTTCCCACAGGCTCTTCCTAAATAGGAACCTGGCAATGGGATTAGTGGAGCTGGAGGGGCGTCCTTGGCTTTAGAGGTGAGGCCTGTCAGGATCCTGAGGAAAGTTGGGCAGAAGTTCTCCCTGATGGTAATAACACTGAAGAATCAGTGTCACATCCATTTTATTAATTTTCTTGACAGGCAGCTCTAGTTACCATGCAGGCACCACAAAATCAAAACATACGCATGTCAAGTGGCCCCATCTGTGGTGGGGCCCTGCCAAGGCCCATGTCACATCAACACAAGGAAGCAGAACCCAGCTTCTCAGACCGTGTGCTAGGGCCTGTGAGCAATCCTCTACAGGAAGAAAACCACGAGAGCTTGGTTGAAAGAGCCAGAGAGGTTTTCTCAGTGACGGCTCTTTATCCTGAGTCTGGGCCCCTTGGATTGAATAGACAAGTCCTGGGAGACGAAGGACTACATCTGGCTTTGGTGCCTGTCTCTAAACGCAGCCGCACAGACCTCCTGCTACTTTCATTTGCCTGCATTCAGTTTCATCCATGAGGGACAATAGCAGTTACAAAAGAGATTTAAAGGCATGCAGTGACTTTATTTGTAAGTGGGTTTGAACTTGAAGTTCTGTTGAGCACACAATAAATAAGAGAGAGAAAGCACTTGAAATCAAGAGGTCATTCACTATGAGGATTACTACAGCACAAGCTATTCTTTATGTTGAATAATGAGAAGGATCTACTGGGTAAATAATGCCAGTGACATGGATACCTAGGGCAAGGATCTGAAAACATCCCAGTTCTAAGTAACACAATTCACTGATGCCCAGAGTAGATACCAACATACTGCACCGTTATATTCCTCACCGGAACCTCTTACCACAACGATTTTCTCGGTTCCACCTTACAATTTACAAACAAGGGACACAGGCAGCAAAAGGCTAGAGGCCTTGAGCTTCTGATTCCAGAGTTTCTGAGCTCTGTATAGAAGAACTTCCTAGAAACTCAGTTTCCCACACTGACAGTTATGAATTTTGCTGGGTATATAATGTGCAAGATAATGTAAATCCCTATATAGTTCTGTCAACAAGACATCAGTGTCAACAAGAAAGGTCCACGGCAAGCAGGTTTGACCTCCCTGATAGTGTGCCACCTTGACTGTGTTAGCAAGGCGCAATCCAAAAACAAACACCAGAATTTCTGTTATCCCGCACTCCCAAAGTCTGCTCAGTCAGCGACCTGGACCCTACATTGGATACCCTGGAAACATCTGTGATGAGCCTGCCTTGTGAGAACAGAGCACATCTATTCTCACCTCCCCTGAGTTGGTCTAGCAGGTAGTGGCACTTTGGGGACAGAGTGTCTGCCCAGTGAACTCTGACAGGGAGATGTTCATCATGCAGACTACACATCTCATAGGGAAAGACTCAGTTCATCTTTTCATTCACCATTCAAATAGCCATGGCATGTCAGCCTAGCTGGCCTCCTTGATGGTGCAGAAATAAATAAATGAATTATGTTGTTGGGGTTTGGGCTTCAGCACAAACACATGGTCTGCATTTATCCACACCGTGAGAGGTCCACCAGCCACTTGATATAAAAGAGCAAAATGATAATTCTTTTCTTTAGGCGCTCTGGTGCCATATGGAATGCATATAAATCATATTTTTGTTTTAACAGCGGAGGCTTTGTTGATAGATAAACATGTGGTTTATCTAAAAAAAAGAGAGGACTGTGCTTTGAACAATCATTTAATGGCCACGGATGTGCCAAATAAAAATAAAAACATAATTTTGAAAGGAGCTGGCCTCGTTCCCAAATCTGTAACAAGGAATTTCTCCTCAACCAGAGCGGTTAAAGCCCGTCGATCTGTTTTGAGTTTAAGCTGTGCTCTACTCAACCCCACGACAAATGGAATCCTGGGCTAATGAACTCTAATAAGACAAGACGTTACCTTTATGAATGACCTCATAGAGAAGAGGTTGGCTAGCATTGTGGAGAGGCCTTGAGCCAGGCAGCTCTGGGCTATGAAACCCAACTTCAACTCTGCGAGGCATATTGCATCATCACCCTCTTTCCAATTCCAGCTTGGGATGTTGAGCAGATGGGCCTGTGGAAACAAAAACAGGTATGAGACCTTGCTTTGTTCCATGTCTGGTTGTTTCACTTCTCTTCTGGGAATTGCTGCATTGCCCAAGGACGTTGGGTCATCGAACTCATCCTTTCTTCCGTCTGATTGGGGCGGGTTCTACTGCTTGTTCTAGACTTCGATTCAGCAGACTTCAGTCTCTTGGAAGCATTGCTTCTATACTTACCAGGTCTACATTCTCTACTCAGGTTATTTAGACAGACTCAGCCCAGAGAGAAATTTCCACTATAAGGCCCATCGGCCTTCATTATTAAGAAGTCTAGCTAGCCTGCTCATCAAGATTGTCAGGTGTCTATGTATGCTTGTGATTCATTTGTTTTTTAGCCTGCCTTCAGAATATGCTAAATCAGTGACCCTCCCCCAAACATAAGTGGGCATCAGAATCCCTTGTATCATGTATTAAAATCATAGGTTATTGGTCCCACTCAGCTAAGCTTTTGGCTGAGTAAATCCAGGGTGGGGCTGGAGAACTTGCAACTCTACCCTGTGGATGGTGATGCTTCTGCTACTCTGGAGAACACTGTGTGAGAAGCACTGACCTAAATCATCGCAGTGTAGACATCCCATAATCTCTTGCAGATGGACTGGTCATATTCAGCAATTAGGTCAGACCTCAAGACACAGACACAGAGGCATGCTCACAGAATTAGTTTTCAAGGACTTGAAGCAGAGAGTTGTATATACAACAGTGAACAATAAAGGTGAAATTCAGAAAGTTCTTCAGCATTAGGAATTTAAAAGGAAGGAAGGAAGGAAGGAAGGAAGGAAGGAAGGAAGGAAGGAAGGAAGGAAGGAAGGAAGGAAGGAAGGAAACTGTTACGAGGCCTGAATGTCAGGCACAGCATTTAGGTTTAAAAAAATCAATTATATAAATTTGAAACAAGTAGATAGATCTAACTGGGCAGCAGCCATCATACACACAGAAAGAGCAGCATTAAGTGTGTGGTTCGCTAAAACCTCAAATAGAGGCCATGTGATACATTACAGAGAAAACCAAATTGCTTGTTAAAAACAGTCTCCAGAGCAAAGGAAATGAACATTTCACTCTACGTGAACAGGCCACAGTGGTTCCAGAGGACTTGATCCAGTTTTAACAGTCAGATTTAAAGAGAGAGAATGACCAATTGAAAAGCATCCAGAGAAAAATGATAAAGATGAGGAAGTAAGTGCTCTGCAAAACATCTTATACAGAACAGTAAAAAGAACCAAAAATGTCCTAGATTCAGGACTACATCCTCAGGGAGACGGTATGCTTACATATGAATTTCTTGGGTACCAGTATGTCAAGATTAGCTTTGTTCTGCTCTGTTCTGGGAGACAGAATTAGAACTGACTGGTATATCATGAAAAACAACAGAGGTTTTGGCTTGTTTGAGAAAGGAACTTTCTAAGGATGCAATTTGTCTAAGAAATGGAGAAGACTGCTTCAAAAAAGGCACAAGGTCTTTATCCCTAAGACTTAGTATTTTTCTAAGATGCTGGAATAAATCGTTTTGCCCAGAAAAGTGACAGTGTCTTCCTAAGTCCCCATACATGCCGAGATTCTATAACTCTGAAATTATTTCTCTCTATGTAGCATTGAACAGGAGGAACAGAAAAGGGGGCTTTCCTTCACATTCATAACAACAGATAATAGTTGCTTGAGAACAGAAGACTCCTTCAAGCCAAGGCCTTGGTGCATTGCCTGCAGAAATGGAACTCTTGTGAAATATCTGCTTGCAAAATCCACTTCTGTGACAATCTTGAGTCCCAAGCCAGTCGTGGTTACTGCTGGGAAGAATGGTATTTCCTTTCTAACGAAAGCATGAGTCAAACAGTCCTCCTGTGTGTGGGCCTCAGAGGACTGTGATTCGTGTGGATCTTTCACACATTACACACTCAGTTCCAAGAACTAGTCTTATCCTTTCTCCCAATTTTCTCCCTATTCCTCCCTGGCTTACAAAGGCGACTTTCCCACTTTACATCCCTGGCATTGTATAAAAGAATTAATTTATGTGAAGAAATATCCATGTGCAGTAACATCATCTGAGAATGATAAATTACATTCAAGTAACAGACTTGTGTGTGACAGGAGATTTGGGTGGTCCAGACCCTACAGACATACCATATAACCTTCAGACCACCTTCAAACAAATAAAACTTTTTCCAGGAAGTCAGTCATATCTCCTACCCAGGGTATAGAGCCCAGGCATCTCAGCCTCGGGTCCCTCATGTCTCATCTGGTTTGGCTTCTTTAGACAGTTTACATGTTATTACACAAGAAAGTCACGTTTGGTTCAGGCTTCCATTGCCTGCCTTCTTGGCCATCATTCTTTCTCCAGTCATAGGGTGCAAAGTGAGGCTGACGTGCCAAAGGCTGGAAAGAAAGGCTTTGTACACAAAGCATCAGAGGATATTGAACCAGAAACTCAAATTCTTTGTTTCTAACAACGTTGTCCTCTTTCATTTGCGGAAAGCTGGATCTGGTGAAAAATGCCAGCATTTCCACATGGGATTCTGGAGGCAAGTCTCCTCTAACTTCTAAAAGAGGAAAAGAAGGAGGTGCAGCGTTAACTAGGACTGCCCTCCGGTGATGCTAACGGACCACCTTCATCTCACATAGGAGGACTATGAAAACGGGCTTTCCCAGGATGGAGAGAGAGATGAATTCTAACCACATTCCTTCTTTTACTACGTATAGAACCTCGAAGAAGTTGAAGAAGCTCCATGAAGAACAAGGAAATTGATAATGGGAAACAACTTTACTGTTAGAGTTTGCATCTCCAATATCCACCGGAGGTTGTATGTTAAAAACTTCATCCCCAGGGTGGTGGAACCTTTGGGAGGTAGGTCTTTAGGTCACTGGAGCATGGGATTTGAAGGAGACAGCAAGACACCAGTCAGTGCTATCTCTTGTTTTCTGCCTATGACTTGAGCCACTTTTTGCCACCACACTCTCCCAGCATCATGTGCTGCCTCACCACAGGCCCAACAGAACAAAGCCAATTGACGGACTACAGCCTCCAAACCTGTTACCTCAGGTATTTGTTGGTGCGGGACAGAAATCTGAGTGTGAGGGTTTGTATTCATCGTCAACCTGACAGAATTTAGAATCGCCTAGGAGACAGGCCTCTGGGCATGACTGGGAGGGATTATCTTGATTGTGATAACGGAGGTGGGAAGACGCACCAACCGTGGGTAGCACCATGCCCACGAGATCCTAGACCTTGTAAATGGAGAAAGGGGGCAGAGCAGCAGCATGCATTCAGCTCTCTACTTCCCAATTCTGGATATGACAGGATCAACTACATTAAACTCCTTCTGCCTCTCCTTCCTGCCTGGGATGGACTGTGCCTTGATCTGTGAGTCAAAATAAACTCTTCCTTCATCAACTAAGACACTAACGCAACTATGTTCCATGTGTCAGCCGAGAGGGCGAGAACGTTCAAAAAGCTGGCATCTGCAGTGTGGTCTTGGTTTCTAGATCAGAGACAACAGTCCTTTCATTGGACTCTGTTGAGAAAAAGCTACTCACTAGTAGGTCAGTTGTTAGGAGTGACACTTTTTCCAACTTGTCATAAATTATCATTTGCCGAAGAGCTTCAAACTACTCACAGTACCAAGTCAGCTGATACACCAACCCCCTTCTGCATTCAGAGACTGCCCGATGGAAAGACACCTCTCTCCATGAAACTGTTACATTAAAGAGCTCCATTCTGAAGAGCACCAGCCTTTCCATAAGCCTCTCTCAGGATCCACAGTGTTGGTCTGTTGCTCCATTTATAGTAAAGGTGGTAGGTGGCCATCCTGTTCTGGCTCACTGGCAGCCAAATAACCATGGTTTGTGCTTAGTAGAGTTGCTCTGCCCACAGTAGAGCTCAGTCTCCTGGTCTGAAGTTACACTGGGATGCTAAAATGCACAGATGGCCCAATGAGAACTAAATGAGATAATGGATGTCAAAGCTCTTTTAAAACCATAAAACAGGACACAAATGTCTGTAATTATTATGATGACAAACTCAAGGCCAGGCAGTTTCCCTGCATCCCTGTGGGCTCTAAAATATCAAGATCATTACATCATAGGGAATTGACATTGTTTATACGTCAAGCCTGGTGTCCAATTATGGGATCAACCATCCTTTGGAATATGTTGGTGGTGGCAAAGCTTTCACATATATATCATGTCGTTCCTGAAAGCATGTATAAGTGGGTAGAGATCTATGGGCATCTAGGATGGGCACAGAGGAAAAGCCATGAAAGAAGAAGAAAACGCTGAAAGAGAAGGAGGAGAGCACGTACATGAAGGGTATGTGGGAGCATGCTTGGAAACCGCAAATTTATGAAGCAGAGTGAAGAGTGTCCATTGGGAATCTACACGGGATGGCATGAAAAGTATGACAAGCCAACTTTCCATTCTTTCTCTAAAAGGGACAGGGGAAGTTAGAGAGGCAAATACCCTGGGTCAGAATTACTTTCTCCCTGTGTCCTAATGTAACTGGGTTCTGTAAGTGATTTTTTTGCCTATCCCAGAAACCCAAGTAAACTAGGGGTAGTTCTAAACAAAATGTGTTTTAAGCAAGTAATCATGGATCTGTTGATGCCTTCGTCACTGTTTCTGAATGACTGTGATGAAGAGCTTGTCCAAGGAATTCAGGTGGCTATGCTCATGTGAGCACTGACCAGGGACCATCTGGCTCTTAGGCCAGTTGAGTTGCTTTGAGTTTGACAAGAACTACATAGCTGAAATCCTCTTTAATTTCTTGAAGATGCTACATCAGCACCCGTTGGAAAGAGAAGAAAAGGAGCTGACATCCCTTTCTAAACATACAACATTAATTTTCCTATTCATTCTAAATTCAGCCAAAAATCTAAACAACTGCTTAAAGCACTCCCACACTAAATGAGATTTCAAATCACAAATGAAAGAAGGAGCTGTTCCTTGCAGCAGGAGCTGTCACCAGCCACAGCCTCGCTAATAAAATTCACCTCCACCTACAGGGGCTGCCGTCAAAAACTTCTCCACGTTGATGCCTGCGACTTACCCATACCTCCCTGTACCTCATTGATGTCCTTGAGTTGCAGGGACAAACAGGAGAATCACCTTCATTGCCCATCACCATGGGCTGGAGACTGACACTGTTTCCAATGGAGCCACCTGCCGAGGGCTGGCCAATGGTTGGTATTGGACTCAGTTCTGAGCAGTGGGCCAGTTGCTGACAGCAGGCCCCACTCAGCAATGGTCTCTGATGGGCCTCCACACAGCAAAATGGGTCAGCACTTGCCAGCAATTAAGAAATAATGGTGTGGTGCTGGTGGCATTTGGCAGAATGGAGTTTTCTCTGGGTCACCTGACTGCCTGTTTTGTAGCGAATACGGTCTATAAGATTGGGCACACTGTCACACAAAACCCTGAAGGGAGTTATTTCTGTTCAGACAGGACACCTGGCCCCAGGTACTGAGCAGCCTCCAGCTTCTAAGCTCCATTAAGGAGATAACTGGTACCATATCAGTAAAACAAGGGGTCACCTTTCCTCCCCTAAAGCTGTCTTCTAGGAGGCTTGCCCACAGGCTGAGCAAAGGATCATTGTCTTTGGATGGGAGACTTTCCACTCTGACTTGCTTTGAGGTAATCACAGGAAAGCAACATGCACTCTCATGTTTGTGTTCTTTCCCATCAGCCCTCACTGGAAGCTGTTACACTAGGAACATTCATCTATGTGTAACCTCTGGCTAACCAACTATTTTCCCAGGCTGAACTGTGCAAATTCTCACCCTGAATTTGAGGATCATGTCATGTTTTTGCTTTCTCCACTCAATTCACATTATGTGCCTTTAAGTTCATCCAGTCTCAGAGAAATCCTATCATTTACGTCTACGCCTTACTTGCTAAGTCTCTAAAGACACAAAATCAGATTTTTCTCTTCACTGTTCTCCTACCCCCTGGGTATCAGGAAGAGTGTTAATTACAGAATAGGTATTCAATAGTTATTGACTGAATGACTGTAGGACACAGAAATTGAAGTTGCTAGAATTTAGGTATGGATAGGATCTAAAAATACATCAATATTTTGGAACCAAAGGGTTCAATAGATGCTTCCAGAATGAATGATCAGTATATGAAGGTACTTCCTTCTAATGACTCATCAGGCTTTGGGCACGTGCACACGTGCTCATGTGTGTGTGTGTGTGTGTGTGTGTGTGTGTGTGTGTGCATGTGTGTGTATGTGGCTGTGCGATGGGGAAGAGACTGGAACCCAAGACAAGGTCTGAGCATGGCTCCCGGTCTGGAACCATCTTATCACCTACCTTATTGTGATACTGCAGCATCTGAGTGATGATTCTGATCTTCGGATGGTAGTTCTTTATGGAGATCACTCTGAAAAAGAGACAGCCAGAGCTGAGGCAGGCTCTGTGTTACCTATGGAGCATGATGAAGGATCCATCTGATGACATGACATAGGTCAGGTCAGCAGCTAGGGCCATCCGGGGTGGGGGGCTGCAGGCAGTAGACCAAAGAAAACTGTTCTTGCCACCCTAACCCTTGTTAACACGAGAAAGAAATTACAAGGTTGCCACTAGTGTGCATCCTGAGAAACAGTCAGAAGTAGTGGTGCCCAACTGTGACCAATGCACTTAGTACAAGGCAGAGGGAAAAGGAATTCAAGGCCTGCCTTGGCTACACGAGGCCCTGTCTTTAAAAAAAAAAAAAGAAGTACTGCTGGGCTGTCTGGGAGGTAGGGTAGGAAATTGGATGGACTGGAGGTGCGGGTTTCTGATGCCTCTACAGACATGTAATACAGCTTAAACCCTGGGGCTCCTGAAGGGCAGCAGTCTCTCACACCCCAGCCTAGAAACAATCTGTTCTATGTTCAGCTCTCCTACTTAACAACATGAGACCACAAGACAACTCAAACCACCCACCTAACAAATGGTTCTAATTGTCACACACACTTGGACACTCTCATGAGCATGATTTCTAAGTGTAGTCCTTAAGATAACAGCAAGAATTCAGCCTTCCATAGCAAAATGATGGCTTGAACAGTGGTTAAAGTTAAGTACCGACATCCAACAGAGACCATCATCTGGTGGGAAATCCCCTCTCATTGTCCTCAGTCTTTACTGAGCCTGGACCACCTCACCATCCCACCACCTAACCTTCCCTGGCAATCCTTCTCCTGTCAATCACATGGCCAAGGTGGGGGGGAGAGGGAAGATGAATGCAAACACCTGGCTTCCAGCACAGCTATTGTGCTAATGAACTGGGTGACCTTCCGGAAATCCCTGGACTCTCTGTTCCTGTTTCCTCATCTGGACACTGAGGGCAACGGGTACCTGTTTTATTTACTTCACAGACTTGGTATGTGGAACAAATGAGAGGCCAGATGTGAAAATGCTTTGAAATCATTAAAAGCTCTCTCCACCACCTGTGACTTATGGTTTTTGTCATTACCAACCCTGTCAGAGGTGACATTGTACATTTCCTTGGGTGACAAGGAAGGCTAAAGAATGAAATTCCGAAGAAAGGCCCACCTCCTAAGCCTAATCAGAAATGCAAGCACCATTATCACAGCCGCCCCCACAAACTTCCCACCAAGCAGCTCTTCTCACTTTGCCACTTTTTGTGCAAAAATGGAGACAAGACAGATAGGGAGCAGGTTTGTCGAAAAAGCTACAACTTGCAAAGAAAGTTAGGAGATGGTTCTGGAGGGAGCTGCTCTCTGTATAAATCTACCCTGGCTTTTGCACTTCATTTTAGTTCTGAGAAAGTGTTCTGTTGGCCCCAGCTTATAACTCAAGGATTTTGAGCCTCCATCAGCCTCCCAGTGCAGTTCACGGCATCACCCAGCTTTTGGCATTAGCGCATTTCAAATGACTCTTTGACATTTTAATTTCAAAAGCAGCAGATTGGTCTCATTAAACTAAGGAGGAAGGAGGAATGTACAAATAAGAGACAAATTGAACTCATTTTTTAACCCTGAGCTTCCCATTCTTTTAGAGCTTCTATTTGGCTCTGGTTAATGGATGGCTTAGGGACATTTCTTACCACTCCATGTGCCCAGCGAGCTCCACACCTGGGCATCTTACCATTCATCCCAGTACCTATGTGTGCTCAGATGAACCCGTCAACTCAGAGTTTAAATAACATATGCCAATGAAGAGAAATGCCCACTTCAAAACTATTGCTCATCTATATTAGTCACCTGTTAAGGAACATAAAGGTATACTTGCCCCAAACATCTCTACTGAGGTCAAAATCATAATCATTCACCCGCTTTCTTTGTTTGCAAGATAGAGGAGGAGGGAACCTAGTTTCTTTAAGGGCTAGTTTCTGTCACTTCAAATGACAGAAAGCTTTGTCAAAGGAGGGAAACGCTACTTCGTTTAAAAAAAAAATGATAAGGGACACATTCTAAATTGAAGTTGACCTGTTCAGTCACTTTCCAGCAGGGACTGGTAAGGGAAGGGGTTCAGTTGGGAAGTGAGTCCCTATTTCATCCTCCCCACAGCCTGGCAAACCAAGGCTTACTAGAGTCCATGCACAGACGGCCTTAAAATACTATACCAAGCCTATTGCCAAAGAAAAGTGAAGGGAAAGGGAGAAGATGGTGCCAAATGGTGCCTGCCAGACATAAGGTCCAGACGCTGTGGGGAGGACTTGCTCATCCCAAATGCACCAGAGGAGTTCCTCGGTCTCGCTGATGGGAGCGTTCACGTCACTGGGGAACACTGATTAAACAAAGACAAAGTAGTTGTGAGCATCGTGGTGACACAGAGGCCACTTCCCAACCTTCAGCTTCAGGTAAATCCCAGATCCCAGAGGAGCGAGCTGCAGGGAGAGGGGCAGCTTCTGTCAGTGCCAACGATGGCTGTTCACAATTCAGTTAGAGTTGGACATACAGTAGGAGTGAAGTATCCCCCTTAGTTCAAACTCTCTCCTGAAGATCATCTCCTCCTAGTCAAGGAACTATTCTGCAAGCTATACAGGAGAAGAGACACGTTCTAAAATGTCTTTAACTACCTGGAGCAAAACGCTTGACCTTTCTTAGACATAGGATATAACTACAGAGCTGTGGAAAGACCGATAACAAATTTATCTCCTGAAAAGTCAGAAAGGTAAGGTATTGGTATTGGAGCCAAAATTACCATTGGAGAGGCCCAACCTATGTGCAGAAAAGGCACTGAGTGGGGGCTGGACACTGGCTGATCTTGCAGAGGACCTGGGTTTGGACCCCAGCACCCACATGGCGGCTAACAATCATCCTTAACTCCAGTTCCATGGGATCTGACACCTTCTTCTGGCCTCTGTGGCCCCTGCAAGCACATGGTACACTTACACACCTGCAGGTAAAATACTCATACACATAAAACTAAAAATAATAAATTATTTTTTAAAAAAGAAAGGAAAGGCACTGGGTGATGTTCTAGATCATTCTCTCCCAGAAGATGATCTGTAAAAATAAAACAAATGGTGGGAACTTCCAAATAGGATTAAGAAAGTGCTTTATATGATACAGCATCTCAGAGACTTATGCTAGTATTAAAATCACTAGAAATGTTTCCAGTAGAGAACACTCATTTGGCAAACTGGTTGAGGCAAGCTAACTGGTCAATAGCCTTTTGGGTGGTACTAAGCAACCTGATACAGACACACTGGGAAGGCTCTAACAAGGGGCTTATCAACCTCAGTGCTTTGGGCATTTGGGCCAGATGTTTCTTCAGATACGGTTGTCCTGTGTACTGTAGGATGCTTAGCAGCAACCCTGGCCTCTGTCCACTAGACGCTAGCAAGACTGTCTCCTAGTTATGCCAAATGAAAAGCCATCTAGACATTTCAAGATGTCTCTGGGGGCAAAACTTTCCCCAATAAGACATCTTGGGTCTACTTCCTTTTAGAGAACATGCTATTTTTTGGTAGGGCGGAGTCCTTTTGTGAGACAGGGTCTCCCTGTAGCCACAGCTGGCCTGGAACTTGCTATGGAGACCAGGTTGGCCTTGATCTCACAGAGATCTGCTAGGATTAAAGATGTATACCTGTGTACCCAACAACATGCTATTTTTTTGTTTGTTTGTTGGGTTTTTTTTGAGTTTATGGGTGTGCAGGTTCAGGAGCACCTTGGCTTTTTGAGATAAGGTCTCTCACTGATCTTGAATTTGCCTAATTAGGTTGGCCAGTGAGCCCTGGAAATCTGCTTGACTCTACCTTCCCACGGATAGGATTACAAGTATGCCACCGTGGCTCCCTTTTACATTGAATCTGGGGATCAAACTTTGGTCCTTGTGGTTAGCATAGCAACCACTTTACCAACTGAGCTATTTCCCCAACCCTGAGACTATGGTGCTTTAATTCAGACCTGCCCCTATCTAAATTTATTTGTCCTTTTCTAATTCAAATCTTGAGGAATCTCAAATCAAGAGGAGCTGTGAGCTTCACACATGACATCTACTAGGGCTGAGCCTCCTGTTGGTGATGCCCTGTGTCCTAACACCCTCCTCTCCACTAAAGCTGCACTACCCAGCCTATACCAGGGCCACTGTGACTCATGGAGGAAAGGTAGTCCACAGAGACAGTTCTCTGCAGATCCAAAATGGCTGCAGGTGAGCTATCAGGTAACAAGCACAGAGCCCTCCCCAGGCCCCAATGCTCAGAGTTACCTCATGATGTTGGAAGCATCTTCTGCATCCGGGTCAGCGCAGTACTTATTGGCAAGGATCAGGCAAGCATCTGCTGACTCTATCTGAGACACCAAAAAAAAAAAAAATTAATTACAGAATATAAACATATAAATAGCCACACTCAACTGTTCTGTCTCTCTCTCTCTCTCTCTCTCTCTCTCTCTCTCTCTCTCTCTCTCTCTTTCTCTCTCGGAGCTCTTAGAGAACCTGGTGTTCCCCAAGGAAAGGAAAAAAAAAGTCTTGAAAGATTATAATTTTGTCAAAAGTGTAGGTTTCAGGTTCTTGTTGTAGAATAAACATTTCACTTTGCTGCAGCTGGAGAGTTCAGGGTGTACCTGGGTAATTACACTTTTTGTTTGGCATAACTGTTTACATGTATGATCGTCAAATTCCTTTAAATATGTTTAATTAAGCCTTTCAGCACTGGCCTCGCTTCTTCCAGTTGTCTGTGCCATCAACCTAGTATTTCCAGTCAGGAAATGGAGGGTGGTGGGTTAAACCTTTTCCCTCGTTTTAGCAAGTAGACAAAGCAGCCGGGGATTCAGAAATTTAGACTCTACAGTCCTTCCTCAAATCTCATTCACATCTTCATTATATTTGTCCCAAGAAGAAACCAGAACCTTAAATTAGGCAATAGCTCTGTGCTTTTTATTCTTCATTAGTATTCAAGTATGCAAAAGATAACAGATCTACTTATGTGAAATGAAATGTTACAGTTGAACTCAAGAGACAACCTACTGACTTATCTAAACATGAGCTAAGAGGAGTTTATTCCTTAGAGAAACCATGCATTTGATGTGCTAATAATTTCTTGCATTTAAATTAGGCCTGTGAATAAGAACTATTTTCTCTGTTCTTATGACTTGGGTCATGTCTGGATAACATTAAGATGAATGAGCGTACAAAGCATGAGAATTCTCATGCTGGCCTGGGTCATTCTGTCCAACTCAGAATGTAGTCCTTACTAGACTGTTTCTGCATTTGGTGGGAGGGTATGGTTTCCTCCACAGTATGTCACACGTTGTGTCTTGAGTTCTTTAATAACACAAAGAATTTACACAAATCCTTTTGGATTATTCATGTTTGCCATTGCAGTATTTACAGAAGTTTGTGGTGACCACAGTTAGTATTCAGATGTCAGTGGGTTCACAATATTTATGAACTCTTACTGGCCTGCAAATGTTGGACACGCTTACAAAAACTGTATTAATTGAATAAAGTAGCAGCTACCATGTTCCTCTGTCCCTTTTTCATCTAAGCCTTCCATGTGCTTTATGAGAAGATGTCAATCCATAAGGTTCCAGAAAAAAATAAGATGTGCTCATGACCAAGTGATGTCAGATGCCTACAAGTTTAGTACCTTGAGTCTTTTTCTTTTCTTTTGGGGGGCAGGACTCCAAATATTTTATAGTTTCATGCAATTTTATTTGCTAATATTTCTTTAGATATACTAACAGATGTGGGCTATAGTTCCAACTTAAGTTTTCAAATGGAAATTAATCCATCATGATGTTATGTTATATACAAGACTTTTAATCCATTCAACTTTTAAAAAGTCTTTTCAGGCTGGGCATGGTGGCGCACACCTTCGATCCCAGCACTTGCGAGGCAGAGGCAGGCGGATCTCTGTGAGTTAAATAAATAAATAAATAAATAAATAAATAATCTTTTCACATTTATTTGCTTATTGTTGCGTGTGTATATGAGCCACAGTAAGAATATGATGGTCAGAGACTACGTGTGGGAGGTGGTTCTCTCCTTCCACCATGTGGGCTCTGTGAGTCGAACTCAGGCATCAAGTTTGAAAGTGCCTTTACCCACTGAGGCAACTCAATGGCTCCCAGTCAACTTTCAAATCCTACTTCCTTTGGAAGAGACTGATATTAAAGAAACCAACAGAATAAGTTTTATGTTAAGACAAATGTAAATGTGGAATGCTAAAAGTGGTCCAGCACACTGGGCATGGTGGCGCACACCTTTAATCCCAGCACTCGGGAGGCAGAGGCAGGCGGATCCTCTGTGAGTTCAAGGCCAGCCTGGTCTACAGAGTGAGTTCCAAGCAACTGGAGCTACAGGGAGATCCTGTCTCAAAAAGACGAAAAAAAAAAAAAACAAGCATGAGTCAGCAGAGGAAGGTTCCAGGGCAGTGAAGGGGTACAAGGCTAGTGGTATATGAGTTATCTTATTAGCGGTTTCAGAGTTAGCTCTTGGCAACCCTGGAAGTTATGTCCCCATCCCTAATGAAGGAGTTTTTTAAAAAATAGGTCTCTTTTATCCTTACCTTGACTCTGGCCAGATCATGTGGATTGAGGACTGAACCCTGATAAAATTCCACCTGAGTAAAGTGTCGTTTGAAGAGAGCCTCAAGTTCAAGGTTAGGGGAAATGCTACACAAGGAGAAAAGAAACAGCTGTTAACATAACAGACTCGGGATTTTTGTCCACACCTCTCTTGGTTCTAATTTCCACAGGAAGACCTAAGCAAAGGCCTTGACTTGGGGAAATCCCTTTTGTTGCCCTAAAGGGTCACACCTAAGAGAAGTAAATCTCTACCCCAACTGGAACACAAATCTAGGGGCAAGGAAGATAATGAGGCCTCTGGCTAGGACCTATATGATACAGTGTCTTCTTCTTGATTATCTATGGGAAAAACAGGGACATGACATCATTGTGATGGGTCATTTTATGTGTCAGCTTGATTATGCCATCTCAGAATGCCCAGATGAAGTGATTCCCAGGTGTGTCTGACAGGGGGTTCCCCAGTAAAATCTGAGTCTGTGAATTCAGGGAAGCAGACCCCTTTCCTCCATATAAGTAAGCATCACTCATCCTACCAAGGGCCTAAATGTTTCCAGGGCAGAGGAACAAGGAGGCTGGTCTTTTGCTTCCTGCTTGCACGCCCGTTTACACTGGAACCTGGAATGTATCCCATCAGTTTTTCTCTGTGGACTAGGATTATAACATGGATCCCACCCCACCCCTGGCTCTTGGGCCCTCAAGTTTTAGACTGACCACTATAATGAATCCACTATACCAGAGTAGTTTCCTGTTTGTAGACGGTAGATGGTGGAACTTCTCATTCTCCAGAAGAGAGTGAGCTAATACCTTACCAAGAGTCTTTCTTTGCAGAGAGAAAGCAGCACTACGTGAAAGTATTGATACGGGGGCATTACTCTCTGTCTCCTCAGGAGGACCTCAGCCAACACAATGAGGGTGAGCCAAAGGGGAGATCTCTTGCTTTTCTTCCCTGGCTGAGCTGTCCAGCTGTTGCCTGCCTCAGGAGCCATTCCTCTGCTTTTCTAGCTCATGATTCTAATACCCAACAACCTGCATCAGAAAATGTCGCTATGGGTCACTATGAACAGACTCAACTTATTCAATACTGTTCATCACGTTTCTGTGCTATATAGGCACCTTTCCTATTGAAAGATAAGAATTGGTTAAGCGGCTGACCTATTTATCAGTTTATTAATTCTGCAAAGATGAAAAATACCTACTCTACAAAGTACTATGTAAGGCACCAGGAGACTGTGTTTAGTTAAAAGCTATGATGTGCCACCAACTGGGCTAAGCCAAAACTTATCTAATGGTTATCAAGTGTTGATTCCATAATCATTGTTAATGGTTTTAAATGTTTGCTATGTGGCAGTGTTCTAAACACTTGACAACTCTCAACTCATAGAAACATCAATACGATCTAATGGGAAGGTATGCTATTCACCCCAAGCTTTGGGAGTCTGCTTAACTGGGTCATCCATTATGAGAGTCATGTTGAAAGATGCTGGAGACACAAAAATGAATCCTTACAATTGAAGCATTAACAGACAACTTGATTCCTCCAAGTGAAACATTCAGGAGAAAAGACGGGTTCCTGGTGTCAGTCTAAACAGTCTTCCAAATCTACCTGAGTCAGCAGCTTTAAATCCTGCCCTGGTCTCTCTCTGAAAGAGGCTCCCCTTCTAGTACAACTTGACAGAGTTATTCTCTACATTTTGCATGTGTGTTTATCTTGAAATGCTCGACCAATGTGAAGGCAGAACCAGTGTGCTGAGCACCAGTCTGAAATCAGCCCTGTGTGCTCTGCTCCTGAGTCTCTAAAGCCTGGTTCATCTTCTCGGAATTTGGAGAAGAAAAATACTCCTGTTCCAACATGGTAGCAAGTAAGAGGTTTGCTGTTCTGTGAACAAGTCCCAGAGGAAGCGTATCTATGCAGCTGTGAGCTGAGGAAACGTGAACTTCTGGATCCTCAAAGCAGGACAGAGCCCTGGGTGTTCTGCCATGTCCAGGTAACACCAATGTGTAAGCTTTGAATGGGTTCAAGTAGCCCAATAGTGGCATCACCCCCACAAAAGAAGACAATGATGGTGCCTCCAAAGTACCTAAAAGGAGGATCGAGCAAAGTTTCCCACCTCAACCACACTGGGTAGAGAGGAGACATCTTGTTTTTCTCCCAACGAAACACACATACGTTCTATCTTTAAGCCAACTGTGTAGCCCGATCTGTTTCTCTTTCACAATAACAGCTGCCATTTATTGAACATTTCCTGCGTGTTCCACACACTTTACATGGATTGCTTCATGCCATTCTCACAATATTCTAAAGAGGTAGAATTATTATCTCGTCCATTCCTAAACATGAAAGCTGAGGCAAAGGGAAATAACTTGCCCAGCCAGTTAAGTCAGGATTCAGACTACTAAAGACGCACTTGCACCATGTCTTCGAATTAAACGAGAGACTGTCTACACAAAGCCAGCCTAGGGTCCCACAAGGGGACTCTGAGGAGCAGAAGTATTAATACGCCTAATACTCTGTGTGATAGTTAATACCAATTGTAAATTGGACAGGATCTAGAATTGCCTGGGAGACAAACCTCTGGGCATGTAACATGAGGAATTATCTAGACTGGATGGAGGTGGGGAGAGCCACCCTGAATGTAGGCAGCACCATCCTATAGGCTGGGGTCCCAGACTGAATGAAAAGGAGAATGCAAGCTGAGCACCATTACCCCCCCTTTGCTCCCTCGCTCCCTCACTCCCTCCCTCCCTCCTCTCTCTGATTCCTGAATGCAGGTGCAATGTGACGAACTGCCTCAGCCTTTCTGGTCACGAGGGGACTGTACCCTCAAACCATGAGCCAGAACAAACTCTTCCTTCCTTAAGTTGTTTTGTCATATGTTTTCTCACAATGACAACTGTTTCCTCTCTTTGTACTATCCTGCTTGGATTCTTTCTAGTCCTGCACTCCTGAAGCATCCATGCAATCAGGTTAATTATCCCACATCTGCACTCTGGACACGCCTGATTGCACAGGTTCACCTTGGCGAAGAGACATTCATGATGGCTTGAACCCCTAGCAGATTTGACTGTTAAGCCTTTCAGAGAGAAACTCAAATGTTGTCCCAGGACTGTCTCCACAGAGGCAGACTCTGATTTCAATCCTGGACTAGCACATTGTTTTTCCTTCCACCTGTTCCGTGCCAACCTCTCTAAGGAGGCCAGCAGGGGTCGAGGCTTATTCAGCTCTACCCCTATTCCCACCACACCTACAAGCACTCGGAGAGGAGCACATGGTTGGGCAGAGGGTTTGGTTACCGTGGCAGGTTCTTACTTGTGAAGAAAGACAATCTCCACATTGACATCATCCCGGTCCTTGTGCAGAAAGTCCTTCAGGAAGTTGGAAACACTCTCCAGAGTAATGTGTCCACAGACCACAATGTGCCTGCATAGGAGAAGCTATTTAGATCCGGCCGGAATCAGTGATGTGACCCCATATCCCCATCCCTGCCAGGCCGAGAAAGCATGGCAGCTGCAAGAGCCACATCCACCTCCTCCCTCTGCCTCAGCAAAGCCCAGTGCCCATCCCCAGAAGGCTGTGAGGCGAAGCAGTGGCGCTAGCAGTTGCTCAGAGACTCCCAGACAGAAAAGCATATGGCTGCTCACCTGATGCTGCACAAAATCCTATTAAAAGCCCAACCATTTGGCCAAGTGGTTTTATGCATTTAACAATAAGTGACATTATGCTCGTGCTTAAACGCTACATTATCAAGTCCCTTGCAGATTCATATCTCTCCCTTTCTGCCCACAAAGCGTCCTCCCGAGAGATTTACTGTAGCAGTCTTGGTTTATGACATAGAGCTTATCAGGTAATGAGATAACAAATCTTGCTGAAACGATGATTTTGTGTGTAAGAAAGCGGACTTTCATCAGGGTGGCTAATGTGCGGCTTGACACGTTATAGGCTCGGCTGGCCATAAGCAGTAAAAAGGAAATTTTGCATTTTTCCACCATAACTTCTCCAACAATGGGGGCATGTAACACTTTACAGTAAGTGAGCATTACTCAGGGCTAAATGGAGATGGGATGCCTAGGGAATAGAAGATCAAACTGCCTGTAGGTTCTGTGTCCCCAGAGGGCTACTGCCTCAGGGTGCTTGGGATTTCCAGGAGAGTCAAAGGAATTGACCTGAAGCCCTTAAGACCAGGAGAAGCCAGGAAGACATGAGGGTAGACATGCTTAGTTTGTTCTAGGGTCTCTGGACTTCAGTTTCCAGCAATAGTGGCTTATGCTGAGTAAATTAACTCCTTTTCTAGAACTATTGATATCAACCTCCCCATCATCTTTTGGTCCCTAAACCAATGTGATCTTACCACCAGACTGCCCTGGCCTCACATTTGTCTCATGATGCCCAATCAAGAATAGGTGCTACGATGAAAGAATCAGTCCCAAGACCAAAAAGCTGGGGTTTGGGAGTAGGACTCCAACCACTGGCTTCCAGCAAAGATACTGTATGTGACAAGTGGGTCAACTCAGAAGCTTGTACCCTCAGGCTGACAGTGACAGAAGGTGGACTTCTAGCTGAGTTTCAAGACTGGGACAAGTGGCGAACACACAGCAAGGCCATTTCCCAGGTAAAATGTAGAAGGTCCGGGTGCCTTGTCCTTCACGATTGCTCTGTGCAGATTGCAATAAGACAGAAAGCTTGTTGGCTGGAGGCAGGTCATAATAGAAGGTAGTGAAGATGGCTTACGCAATGTCCCATTAGATGCCATTACAAGAGACTGCCCTTTCGTGCTAATTTGGTGCTCGACTAAGTATGTGAGAATAATGTAGTAAACTCATTGGTGAAGGGATAATGGTGCAGAACTAAGAGTAAATCAATAATAAGCATGATGCAGTTAATAATATTACCATTATGGACTGTTATTGTTATGGTGGTGCACTTAGCTGGCGATCAGACAAGTGGGAGGCCATGAAGGGACAGAAGACTGACAACGGGCTACTTCAAGAAAGACATCATAATGTAATCCCTCTGTCCTTTGCAGCCCCTGCCAGGCTGGAGGACGTCCCTCGGCGGCTCACCCAAATTTCACGCCCAGAGCCCCACCTCACTGACCCCTCCATCCTATAAGTCTGAAATACACTACACATCTGAAGTCATGAAATAACCTGAATATTTCTATTATATACATTTTAATACTATCATATCTTAAAATGTTTCTTGTGGCATATGTGTATTTATGGACAAACCCAAGTATGTAAATATGCATGGGCTGAATGAGATTTAAGATTCTGAATTGTCAATTGTGTCCAGAAAGCAACCCTAAGAAACAGGATTTCTCTCCTGACCTGACCTCCCCACAGATGACAGTGAGGTTGCCTGATGCCTTGCTAATATCCTGCTTGCAGAGTTCCAGAATGAAGAAGGTCACCATGAATCCAGCCTATCGGTATCCTTACAGTTCAGGCTGTCCCTTAGGTAAGACATTAAAGGCCAAGTAGGCTTCCTGCTCTGCTCCTTAGGCGAGGGCATCCCAGACACGCTGCTAATTCTAGTCCATTATATGAGAAGACAGAAAAGTCAGTGCCATCCAAACAGCCTCCTGCACCAGGCATTGCAAAGTTCGGAGCTCTGCACCTGCACATCCTTGGTTGTTATTCAAAGGCAGACTCAAATGAATGGTGGGTCTGAGAGACTTGAACATTCACCCTTCCTGTCTTATACACAAAGGATGGAGCCAACATCTGCCAGCAACTTTTGTTGATGCTCCGAAATCATTCATAGGAGAGATATATGTGAAGTAGAAGGGGAACATATGAGCTCCCCCCCAGCCCCATCACCCTCGAATCAAAAGTTCAGCCAGCTGATTTATTCAGCTTTAGAAAAGTCAGGGTTCTCTTACTTGAAAGTATGCTGGGTACATATAAAATATATTCCAATGCAATCAATATTATCCCTTAAACCTTTAATTAGCTTTCACTTCTCTTAAGAAGTGGACAAATGCTGACAGGAGGGGAGGGAAGAAAGAGATTGACTTTTTTCCCTTTGATGCTAGCTGTCCAATATCATCCTAGACAATTGAAAATATATATCTTTTAGTTACGGCATGATTTCTGGGGTGGAGAGCAGTCCTTATCAAAAAGAGAAGAAAAAAAAATCTTCCTTCAACATAATTGGTGTTTCTGCTCAGAAAAAAAGGGAGATTGATTGAAAGCAGATTGCCGTTTGGCCCAGGGAGAGTTATTAGGTGCATTATCACGGCAACCTTGAAGAACCCATATTGTTCCAATCTGTCCTGTATCTGATTTGAAGATTTACAGCCTCCCCTTCTTTTGCCAATAATCATTTCCCTCCATTTTGTTTTCCATACAGTGGAAGTTATCAGGGAGTCCACATATTGAAAATGTTTGAATGCCATCAGAATTGATGGATGGGAAGACACTGCCTCTCTAGCCCTGAATCAGCCCTGGAAGATGTGCCCTGCCAGCCCATGTCTGGGGAGGCTTCGGTCACCCTGTGGGAGCACAAGAGAAGATGGCAAATGGGAGAATATTTATTTTCCAGAAATATTTTCAGGGCTTTTGAAAATTCCAGGGGCAGTAGTTTAAGGGAGCATCTTATTGCAGGAAGACAAGGCATAATATTTATTATCCCGTTTTCAAAATATGATTGAAAATAGTCTGTGATTGAGAGCCAAGTGTTCACTCCTTGAAAGTGGTGAATACTCACAAGGCATGATTTAAGAAGGCCAAAAGTGCCCTGTCCAAAATGATCTCCTCTGGGACCCACGACACTTATAAACCTACTAGGTGACATGTACACTCTGATGTCAGTCACTGAATAATTAGTCTCAGATAGGGTATCAATTTTTCATTTTAGCACCAATAATTCAGAGCTTCAGAAGGGCTGGAAGGAGGCGCCTTGACTCATGAGGCTGTCTCCAGGACTTATTTAAAGAGATAACATGTGTGGAAGACTCCAGCAAAGGGGCCCATTGTGAGCATTCTAAAATGGTAGGGATCATGTGACATCTTTGCCTCAGTATGTAGGAGCTATAAAATATTCTGTGGCCTGTAGAAAACCCATCTAATCCTCAAACAACTGCATGTTCGTACTATCTGCATCTTTTCAGATAACCTCTCTAAAGCTGTTTCTTGAAGATGCATCCCTGACTGTCACAGGATGTAAAAGTGACTGGCCCAAGATGTAGTCCAGATATATAGTTCCACTGCTCATAGAGTTGAAGGTGGTAGGGGAAGGTTGTCTTTCTCAGTTTCTGCTCCCTCTGGATAGCCATTACATGATAGATGGGGTACTGCAGGGAGTCCCAGGTGTTTAGGGGAGAGGTTTGTTCTGGGGATGGGAGTGGGAAGAGATGAACTTCCCTTAAAATGTCATAATGCCTCAGCATTACTAGATCAGCTGGACCACAGGGATCAAGGTAGCAAAAGTGGAGTGTTACAGAACTCATAACCCTGATGCTCAGAGACTCTAAGTCAGTTTTTAAAACATCAATCATACAGCCAAGGGGCTACAAAAGTAATGAAAAGAACTGTGTATGGAGCTGAGGACCTTCTCAGCAGCCCAGGAAGGTGATGCATTTACAAAAGGGAGTGTTTAAACAAGGCCAGTTGTAGGGTATCTAAAGCTACTCTCATCTGTACCTATGGATGAGGACTTTTTGAGCCCAATGTCAATAATCGTCATGTCTGGATTCTATGTAACCTAATCTCTTAGACTGTGAAGACAGACAGCAGATCTAAACCAATAACTATTTCTATTCTAACCTGATAGAATGGGGGGGGGTGTTAAAGCTCTATTGAGTTCTATGAACAAATATTTCCTGGGCAAAGGTAACATCATAAACTAATATTAATGGATTAGATAAAAGGATTCATCTCTGGCACTCAGGAGGCAGAGGCAGGCGGATCTCTGTGAGTTCAAGGCCAGCCTGGTCTACATAGTGAGTTCCAGGACATCTGGGGCTACAGGGAGACCCTGTCTCAAAAAGACCAAAAAAAAAAAAAAAAAGAAGAACAAAAGAAAAGAAAGAAAGAAGATCCATCTCTGATGTACAAGGAAGTATCTTAAATATTAACAAAATAGTAGCAAATAGAATTTTCTGGAAAGAATTTACTCATCCAGTATAAGCAGGAAGTGGCTAGTGTTGAGTAAGGACCTCAGAGAGTGTGCTAATTAGGAGATGGATAACATAGGTAGGATGTGGAGTAGTTATGGCATCTTGTGGTTGAGTGTGAATTCATACCAGAAGAATAATGCTTGGCTATGAATTCTCTCAGGCGTCACCAGGAAATTGCCTCTCATTTATTCTAAGGGCTCATCACCACCATATATGCTGGTGTGTTCCTCTGACCATTAACTATGCCCACCTCAGACTGTGGTCATTCACATTGTCCTCAGTCGCTCTACTTCTGTTTTCA